ACCGAGGTTGACACAGCGGGAAGCAAGAGATCCGGAGAACAGGATCACAGACAGAAAAGAAGCAAAGGCAGGCACCAGGATGGCTAACGTGTAGAGCAAAAGTCCAGGCCAGAGGGCCCCAGTGTGCGGAGTGACCAGCCCAGAGGCAGCCCCGGGAGGCGCGACTGAGAAGCACAAAAACCTGAGCACGCGTGGGCTGTGCGCAACCAGGCAGGAGGGACTGTGTGCAACCAGGCAGGGAGGGGCCAACCAGGCAGGGAGGGGCTGCACTGTCTGTCCAGGGCTGGGGGAGGCATAGTGATGGGGACAACAGCGAGCTGCTTCTTTTTTTTTTTTTTTTTTTACAAAAAAGGAGACAATCACTAAGTTCTGATAAAGCAGACAAGCTGTCCCGTGAGGAAATGGAGCCCAGCACGGCTCACAAAGCTGGGCTTTGACCCCATTCACACCTCGTAGGAATTAAACACTGAATATTGTGCACCTGCAAAGTGTTCCGACTGAACGGAGACGGGAGGAGGGAGGGAGGAAGAATAATGTGTGGGTGGGGTGGACAAAAGGGCAAGGATCTCCAACGTCCACTGAGAGAACGCTTCAAACACGGGAAAAGCTGCATTAGAAGCGCTCTGGGGGGCCCGGCACTGTGGCGTAGCAGGTAAAGCCTCCGCCTGCAGTGCCAGCATCCCACATGGGCACCGGTTCAAAACTCGGCTGCTCCACTTCCTATCCAGCTCTCTGCTATGGCCTGGGAAAGCAGTAGAAGATGGCCCAAGTCCTTGGGCCCCTGCACCCATGAGGGAGACCCGGAAGAAGCTCCTGGCTTCGGATCGGCACAGCTCTAGCCATTGGGGTAAATTGGGGAGTGAACCAGCAGATGGAAGACCTCTCTCTCTCTCTCTCTCTCTCTCTGCCTCTCCTTCTCTCTCTGGGTAACTCTGACTTTCAAATAAATAAATAAACCTTAAAAAAAAAAAAACGAAGCCCTCTAGGAATACATAGGCAATGACAAAACGCCATCTAAAATGTGTACCATCGTAGTTGACTGTGCAAGGGAGAATTGAGACCAGGGAAGGGGGAGTGCCAGGGATTTTGTTTTTATTAACATAAACAAACTGTTTGACTTTTTAAACTAATTATATATAAATATATTAGAAGCAAAAATTAACCTGGGGGCAGGCATGGTGGTGCAGCAGGTTAAGTCATCACCTGTAACGCGGGCACCATGCATGAGCACTGGTTCAAGTCCCGGCTGCTCCACTTCCAACCCAGCTCCCTGCTTAGGAAAGCAGCGGAAGATGGCCCAAGAGCTTGGGCCCTGCCACCCACATGAGAAACACGAACGGAGTTCCAGTCTCCTAGCTCAGCCTGGCCCTGGCCCTGGCCCAGCTTCAGCTGGTGTGGACATTTGGGGAGTGAACCAGTCAATGGATGGAAGATCTCCTCTCTCTCTCTCTCTCTAACTCTGCCTTTCAAGTAAATTACATAAATCTTTGAAAAGAAAATGCAGTTGAAAAAGTCCGACTACATGCCCGTCTGTGAGTTAGTGAGGATTCAGTGCGCAGTCCGGCGCCCTCACCACGGACCGACGTGAAGGGATCGTCAAGAGCAGGGACAGCCTTGGGCTCTGCCTCTGTGCCCGAGACCAGGCCAGCTTTCCTCGCTGTCTGACAGACAGCGGCAGTGGGAGCTCCGAGACCAGCTGCATGAGGACCAAGTTTGGAAGAAGAAGAGCAGAAGATGAGCAGGAGCCTGGGGGGAGACAGGGAACCAGGGCGGGGGTGAGGAGAATGGAGACCAGGTGGGCGTGGGTAAGCAACACAGTGCCCCCCACCCACCCACCCACTAGGGCTGTGTTCCAAGCCTCTCGGTGAATGCCTGAAACCTTGGATAGGACCTCACACTGTCTACACCACACTTTTCCCTGGATACCAATTTATAAATTAGGCACAGTCAGAGATTAACGACAATGATTGAAAATAAACTACAACACATTTAGAACCATCTACTGTGACATACGCCGCAGGGAACGGGGGCTGTTGCTTACTGCACTTCCACTTAGCTTTACGGCTTCTTGTCACCATGTCCACATCACCAGCATCACTGCTCTCCAGGCTTTGGAGCCTTTATTAACTGAAATGAGGGTGCCGTGAGTACCGGCACTGCAATACCAGGACAGTCCACGCAGTCAGCCGGGCAGAGGGACAACTCCCGTCCTGCGCCGGAAGGAGCAGCACAGCCCAAGTCTTCATCGTGCTGCCCAGAACGGGGCACAATTTCAAACTTATGACTTGTGGGGCTGCTGCAGTAGTGTAGCAGGTAAAGCCGCCACCTGCAGTGCCGGCATCCCATATGGGCACCAGTTTGAGTCCCGGCTGCTCCACTTCTGACCCAGTTCACTGACAATGCACCTGGGAAAGCAGCAGAGGGTGGCCCATGTGCTTGGGCCCCTGCACCCCCATAGGAGACCTGGAAGAAGTTCTTTGGCTCCTGGCTTCAGATTGGCTCAGCTCTAGCCACTGCGGCCATTTGGGGAGTGAACCAGGGATAGAAGACCTCTCTCTCTCTCACTCTCTCTGCCTCTCTGTAACTCTGCCTTTCAAATAAATAAATATTTTTTAAATGACTTGCTTATTTCTAGAATCTTCCATGGGTTGATTGAAGGCAGCTGAAACCTGAGGGCAGCTTTGGGGTCAACAGGACTTAACAAAAAAACAGACTAGTGTAGCCAACACCATGGAGTAGCAGGCAAAGCCTGCAGCACCAGAATCCCATATGGGTGCCGGTTGGAATACCAGCTGCTCCACTTCCAATCCAGCTCCCTGCTAATGCACCTGGGAAAGCCATAGAAGATGGCCCCTGGGCCCCTGCACCCATGTGGGAGACCCAGAAGAAATTCCTGGCTCCTGGCTTCAGATCGGCCCAGCTCTGACCATTCCAGCCATTGGGGAGTGAACCAGCGGATCGAAGATCTCTCTCTTTCTCTCTCTCTCTCTCTGTCTCTCTCTCTCTGTCTCTCCATCTCTCTCTGTAACTATGCCTTTCAAATAAGTAAATAAATCTTTTTTTTTAAAAGACAATTACAGGCCGGCGCCGCGGCTCACTAGGCTAATCCTCCGCCTAGCGGCGCCGGCACACCGGGTTCTAGTCCCAGTCGGGGCACCGGATTCTGTCCCGGTTGCCCCTCTTCCAGGCCAGCCCTCTGCTGTGGCCAGGGAGTGCAGTGGAGGATGGCCCGGGTGCTTGGGCCCTGCACCCCATGGGAGACCAGGAAAAGCACCTGGCTCCTGGCTCCTGCCATCGGATCAGCGCGGTGCGCCGGTCGCAGCGCGCCGACCGCGGCGGCCATTGGAGGGTGAACCAACGGCAAAGGAAGACCTTTCTCTCTGTCTCTCTCTCTCACTGTCCACTCTGCCTGTCAAAAATAAATAAATAAATAAATAAATAAATAAATAAATAAATAAGACAATTACACTTGTGATCTCACACAATTATGGGTGACCTCCTCCTCCCCCAGTTTTTTCCAAAAAGTAAAGGGAATAGAAGCCACGCCCCCAGGAGTAAGGAAAGTGAGCGGGGCTAGGGAGGGAGTGGAGACTCGGGGGCTGCACGCTCCAACCTGCGTGGCGTTGCCAGCTACAAGGACACTCAGAGCCACCTGAGAACACACAGGCCATCCTTGGGACACACTCAGGCTAAGAACACTCTTGATCCGAAACTCAGACGCAACTAGATGTCCGCGTCTTAACCCCCGCAACCCTAAGGAGGCTACACCTCCCTTCAAACAAAAGCTTGGGGTTTTCAGTATTCCAGGCTGAGCCTATGCCCCTGGCCACTGCCACCAACTCCTGCCTCCAGGTGGGGAGGCCCCAGGAGCAAGGCAAGGAAGGTGGCCCAGGAGACTCCAGGCAGGACGCGTCAAAGGGTTTCCATGTGCCGACTTCCAGGTCAAAAGCCACACGCCTTCCTTTCTATAAAGGGAGTTGGTTGCCTTAATGTCACCAGCGGCCCAGGAGGTACACATGGCGCTGGGAAGAACCCGGCCATGATCACCGGCATCACACAGCCTGTTCTGTCCCTGGGAAGCCGGGCCACATCTGCCAGGCGGAGACAGCGGGAGACTTTCATGTCCCCCATGTGCTCATCTCTACCACCGGCATGCATTACTTTGGTAATCAGCAAAAGGCAATAAAGACACTTCCATACGGAAATGCGCAGAGCTGCAGCAGACCAGAAAATCTGTGAGGCGCCCTCCAAAGCCGAGCTGTGCAATTCGAAGAAATCCCCGGCCCCCGGTTTTTGTGTGTCGTGTTAGGAAGCCACGGAACCACACACAGCACTTTGCTTTGCTGTCTTACTGACTCCCCCTGGGATCCTGAACCCGGCCACTCACTGCTGCTGCCCGCTGGCCCGGAATGCTGCTGGTGGCCAGAGCACCCTTCCTTCCCACTGTCCCTGGTGTTCCCAGGTCACATGGTTGGGCCTGGCTCTGAATGCAGCCCCCCACCCCACCCCCACCAGACCTGGGCTCACTCCTGACCTAGAAGACGCCCCCCAGACGGCCCATTCAGAAACCGAGGATGAAATGCCTGGGGCCCATCTCAGAGCTGTCCCGGGAGTCTAGGGCGCTTGTGGCTTGAATGGACTCTGCAAAGGTGCAGAGATGTGTCCCAGACCCTGGGACAGCTGTCTCTCAGTCCGTCAGAATCCTCACTTCCCATCAGGGAGGCCCAGGGCAAGATGGAGACACCCCAGCTGTGTAGAGCAGGTGGAAGGTTGGGGGCCCGGGGAGCCCTGGTGTGACCTTGGCCATTCAGTTGAGCCGGGCTGGGAGGGAGGATTGAATGAGATAACCAATGCTGGATATTGGGGACAGCTAAAGCGCTCACAAACAGGAGTTGATCTGTGTAATCTTCCCCGGACTCCTCTGCAATTCCCCCAAACCAGTCCGCCCTGGAAGGCTCTCCCGACCCTCTGAGCCCACCCTCCCTGCCCCAGTCCAGGGGACCCCGCACTGAAGCAGGCATGGGTCTCCCAGCTCAGGCACCGGCCTTGGCCCACGACCTTGTGCAGGAACCTGGGAGAAAGCATCACTGAGCCACAGTACTTTTCCACCGCACTGCTCAGCCACCGGCCACCGCAGCTGCCTCTGGGCTGTGCAGACAGGAGGCAAAGTGCACCAGGCCGGCGCCCCCAGGAACTCACCCCCAATATCAACCCAGGAGACATGCTGTGGGTGAGGGGCAGCCCAGTGGTGGGGGGCGGGGGGGGCGTCCACAGATGCCCCCCGCGGAGCTGGGAGGCCACTGGGGAAGCCGGAGGCATGGGCATTAGCCAAGCCCTCCGGTGCATTCCCAGCGACTCCCGCTCCTTACCCACCCTCCCGGCTCCCACCCCTCAGATAATAATGATTAAGCCGGTGGCAGGGCGCCTGTGCCGGGTCCGGGCAGCGCGAGCCTGCGCAGGGGGAGGGGGAGAGCAGGGCGAGGGGAGGGGACAAGAGAGCGAGCGGTCCCGCCCGGTGATGTAGGCAGCCCGGGGAGGTGGAGCCGCGACGCCTGGAGGAGTCCCCACCGCAGCCGCGCTCTCGGTCTACCCCACCAAGCTGCCGCCAGCCCCGGCTCCGGCGCCCTCCCTGCCGCCGCAGTCTGGGCGGCGGGGACCGCGGGAACCACCCTCCCCCCAACTCACCTGCTCGGGCCTGGGGGGCGTCCCTGCCCCTCCTTGCTACCCAGACGGCTGGAGTCGCTCCCAGCGAAAGCTGCTCTTGGCCGCTCGGCCGCCGCCGGGCATCTCGGCGGGCAGACCGGCCGGCCCCCCGGCATCTGCGAAGCCAGCCCCGCCTGGCACTGGGCGTCTCCGGGCACCGCCTGTCTCCAGCTCCGCCCGGCTCCTCGCCACCCCGGGGCCACCGAGTGGGCCTCGGCGCGCCTGCCCCTCCCCCGGCCGCCCCGCGCTCGCCGCGCCCCCGGCCCCTTCCTTCGGCCGCCGCGATGCTGCCCTGGAGACGTAACAAATTCGTGCTGGTGGAGGACGAGGCCAAGTGCAAGGCGAAGAGCCTGAGTCCCGGGCTCGCCTACACGTCGCTGCTCTCCAGCTTCCTGCGCTCCTGCCCAGACCTGCTGCCCGACTGGCCGCTCGAGCGCCTGGGCCGCGTGTTCCGCAGCCGGCGCCAGAAAGTGGAGCTCAACAAGGAGGACCCCACCTACACCGTGTGGTACCTGGGCAACGCCGTCACCCTGCACGCCAAGGGCGACGGCTGCACCGACGACGCCGTGAACAAGATCTGGGCGCGCTGCGGGCCGGGCGGGGGCACCAAGATGAAGCTGACGCTGGGGCCGCACGGGATCCGCATGCAGCCCTGTGAACGCGGCGGCGCCGGCGGCTCGGGGAGCCGCAGGCCGGCGCACGCCTACCTGCTGCCGCGGATCACCTACTGCACGGCGGACGGCCGCCACCCGCGCGTCTTCGCCTGGGTCTACCGCCACCAGGCTCGCCTCAACGTAGTGGAGATCACCTATTCCACCAAGATGTCGATTTTTTTTCATTGTTAGATTTTAACTGTCTATATTACTGGTCAACAGCAAATAGTGTGGAAGATCTCAGACCAAACTCTCTATTTACCCAGAGATGAATATATACTAATTTAAAAAATTTACATTTTTAAAGATTACTCCCCAGATTAAAACTATTGTCGATGATCATCTGTATATTGATGGGGTGGATGTTTGGAGCAAAATTGCTCATACTTGCGATCTGCGGCAACTACGTATATAAAAAGTCAAACTATCTACTGGGTTCTTCACACGTTTAAACTATGCAGAAGAGCTTATCATCAGATATTACATATAT